ACATGCATCGCAACAATCGCTTTCTATCAAATTTTTTCCTTAATGAAACATTCGCTTCTTAGAACTTTTATCAATTTTCAAGTGGCCATCGTCTTCCATTGTCCGGCCGCTCTTGTGGGTGAGCAGTTTCGGCAATGACCCCGAAATTCACTTTCATACCTGACACACAGCCAACTATTTACCAACTTAAGCTGATACTCTCACGGCTCGAAAGAACTGTAAAAATGGAAATGAAATGCCGGCCTGAAATTTAACCTAATGGACCAGATCTTGGCGAATAACGGGACCTTCGCCGAGACCTTTTAAATCTCTCACCCGCCAAACCGGTGGCCAGCAACAATATCATCGACATGTCGTGCACAATTTAAGCAGGAAGTCATCTTTGTCGAAAACATCTGCACCCGAAATAAATCATAATTTTGCATTCAAGGTGGGAAAGTGATCAAAGACTTGGTCAACCACCGCACCCCATCGAGAATTATTTGAACATCATCTGTTTAAAAAATGCTTTAAGCAGAGGATGCGATGCCGTTGAAGTATCAATTTTCATAAAGTCCAAAAAAATGAGGTTGTTGATCGATTTCAATAAAAATTTCAAGATTTTTACGCTCAAGTGTTTCCTATCTATTGCGAAAGTTTCCTGTCGCTACTTGCTTTAGGTCGAAAATGAGGATTTTTTTAAGCAGAGGATGCGATTCTGTTGAAGCGCTAATTTTCAGCCCAATTTTCAAAGTCGAAAAAAATTAGGTTGTTGATCGATTTCAATAAAATTTTCAGGATTTTTACGCTCAAGTGTTTCCTATCTATTGCGAAAGTTTGATGTCGCTACTTGCTTTAGATCTAAAATGAGAATTTTTTTAAGCAGAGGATGCGATTTTGTTAAAGCGTTAATTTTCAGCCCAATTTTTATAATGTCGAAAAAACTGAGGTTGTTGATCGATTTCAATAAAAATTTCAAGATTTTTACGCTCAAGTGTTTCCTATCTATTGCGAAAGTTTCATGTTGCTACTTTCTTTAGATCAAAAATGTAGATTTTTTAAGCAGAGGATGCGATTCTGTTAAAGCGTTAATTTTCAGCCCAATTTTTATAATGTCGAAAAAACTGAGGTTGTTGATCGATTTCAATAAAATTTTCAAGATTTTTACACTCAAGTGTTTCCTATCTATTGCGAAAGTTTCATGTCGCTACTTGCTTTAAATCGAAAATGAGGATTTTTTTAAGCAGAGGATGCGATTCTGTTGAAGCGTTAATTTTCAGCCCAATTTTCATAAAGTCGAGAAAAATTAGSTTGTCGATCGATTTCAATTAAATTTTCAGGATTTTTACGCTCAAGTGTTTCCTATCGATTGCGAAAGTTTCATGTCGCTACTTGCTTTAAATCGAAAATGAGGATTTTTTTAAACAGAGGATGCGATTTTGTTGATGCGTTAGTTTTCAGCCCAATTTTCATAAAGTCGAAAAAAATGAGTTTGTTAATCGATTTCAATAAAATTTTCAGGATTTTTACGCTCAAGTGTTTCCTATCGATTGCGAAAGTTTCATGTCGCTACTTGCTTTAGATCGAAAWTGAGGATTTTTTTAAGCAGAGGATGCGATTCCGTTGAAGTGTTAATTTTCTGCCCAATTTTCATAAAGTCGAAAAAAATTAGGTTGTTGATCCATTYCAATAAAATTTTCAGGATTTTACTCTCAAGTGTTTTCTATCGATGGCGAAWGTTTCATGTCGCTACTTGCTTTAGATCGAAAATAACGATTTTTTAAGCAGAGGATGCGATTCTGTTGAAGCGTTAATTTTCAGCCCAATTTTCATAAAGTCGAAAAAAATGAGTTTGTTAATCGATTTCAATAAATTTTTCAGGATTTTTACGCTCAAGGGTTTCCTATCGATTGCGAAAGTTTCATGTCGCTACTTGCATCAGATGGAAAAGGAGGATTTTTTWAAGCAGAGGATGCGATTCTGTTGAAGCGTTAATTTTCAGCCCAATTTTCACAAAGTTGAAAAAAATATCTCTTAAAACTGTTCTTSTAAATCTAAGCACAATTCAACCTRTACTTTGGCTTAATAAATAATAAGCAACTCAATCGGCTTTCTTTCGTGTAATCGTTTGTAATTAGTGCGAATGTGTACGGATGTGAAAGGTGAACGTTTGGTAGCATCGGTGTTTGGTGGGACTATTAATATTAGTTCAATATTGCCCAAGATTTAATCAAGGAAGTTAGTGGTCAATGTGGGTAATTTTAGCTAAAAAAAACAAATCCAATTACTTCACAAGATTACGCGACGGATATCAATCAAAATTATTCACAATTTCAATTTCAATTCGCTGTCTACCACGGAAATGTATGTGTATAGTCTATTGGGACAAAAAACCCCTACTGAAGACGGAATATTTTCGCAAGGGCGTTGCGTGTAGAATTTATCGCTAAGAAAATTAATGGGATCATTCAAAGAAAACGTATTCAACCGTAAATAATCCATTTTGCATCCCCATTTTGCCCGGTCTCACTAGACTTTACATCGACATCACCAGCTGCTCTCACAGACAAGAATGCAATTTTATTTATTTATTAGCATCCTGTAAACGTCCCAATTACGCTTATATCATGACAAGTAAAACGCGTAATCATTTCCCGTTATCTAAGATTCTTGGAACATTTTGAGCCAAGAATTAGTGCTTCAGCAGACAAAACTCGAACATTTTCTAACGTTTATGTCATGTTCAATTCACCTCTCGGAACATTGAGCGAAGTTTACGGACTTGGAGAGACAATTTACTTCTACTCTAGTTTCATCTATTTTGTATCATGTTTTGACCTCAAAAATGCACGGTCCACTTCGTGTTAATGATCCAGCCGCCGTTACGCCGTAATGAACCGAATACTGTTTTCAATTAGCTGAATTTAATCATACGTGCAAAGAGGGTTAACATTTTTCGCCGATAATTAGATGAAATACAGGAACTTAGAAATTGACACGATTGGAGTAATTTGGATGGTGAATAGTGGATGATTTCAGCCAATTCACTAGCTGAATCAGTTGAAATGGCTAATTAATTTTCAAGGAAATGAGCGCGTGGGATTTTTGCAAACCATTACCGTTCCCGAAATTGCAGTGTTTTTCAAACACGCTTTAACCCATTAAGAGAACAATTGATTAAACAGCAAAAACCATCGATGACATTTGCGATAAAAGCCCATTATTGTGTTTGAATCCCTAATCGCACCAAGACCGGAAAATTAAAATCCCGAGCGTTGCCAAATATTTTCAAGAATAAAATGCGACTATGACAGTCGGAACAAACTGTTTTCCAACGGTTTTTCCTGTTAGAAGCATTAACCATTTTATAGTGACATCACTAGGGTCATTAGCATTCACAAACCGACGTTAATAACACAGTCCCGCATGTTAAAAAATAGAACTCTCTTAATAGCAGCACCGCAAACCGAAACAGTGCTTAACAACAAACTTGCTCAAGTTGTTCTATTAAAGTGTGTTCAGTTAAAATTTCGTTCACGCAGATGCAAAATTTTTCAAAGACATTTTCTGGAAATAAAATGGTGGGACGTTTTTGAGCCAAAGATTTCACGCGTTTCTCGAAAAATCTAAAGTTTGCCCAATTTTTTCTTATAATCTTGTACCTAAGCGCCTCAATTCTCTATCCAACTATGCCAAAACGAATTCTGCGGCTCAAATGGTTCTTGAGAAACTTCGAAAAAGGCAGCGTCATGTTTGAGTCGATTTTGCAACTCAAAAGAAAAACAC